TGATGTCTCTTTTATTATAATGTCTAAATGCTCAATTCCTATATATATATATATTAAAAAACCATCCTTTAAACAGAGATTTATATATTTTAATAAATAAATATTTTTAATATATATATGTATTTGGTTTTTTTCTAATAAATAAATATTTTTTAAACATTAAGTTGTAATATTAAATTATATTAAATATTATGTTATATTTTTTTTAGAAAACATTTTTAGATTTGCCCATAGATATCTCTGGCCGTGTTTTTGGGTGGAGGGGCGGCGAATGGAACTTCCATTGTCGCCATGACGGTGTGTCGCCGGAGAGAAGTGGCGGAGAGGAATCCGGTGCGGAGGAGAGGATGAGGGAGAGAGAGAGAGAGAAATTATTTTCATAAATATATTTTTTTGAGTAACCAAACGCACCGAAAACATGGAGATTAAAAATATTATTTTCCCATATTATTTGAAAATAAAAAAAATGAAATTGTTCTCGAGTCGTTACAGTTAAGAATTTGAACACAGCTGGAAATTTGAAAATCACGAACCAAAAAAGAAAAGAAAAAAAAAAGAAAAAAGAGAGAGAAAGTCAGACATGGAGGCGTGAAGAAGACTACAGGAGGCCGTCGCTCTCTCTCTCTCTCTCTCCTCGTTTCTCTCTCTATAAATCGCTCTGGATCGCCCCTGTCTCAATCTCTCTGTCTTCAAAGCTTTACATTCGGCGAACTTTTTGACACCCAAAATCAAAATCAAAACCCCATTTCTTTTTTCCTCTTTTTTTCAAATGATTGTTTCTTCCTCCTTCCCTTCACGCTTCGCATCTCTCTCTTCTCTGTTGTTCAGACTGTGAGCAAATTAAGAAAGCGGAAGCTTAGTTTATTTACAGAGTAAGTGGATTTCATTTGGCTCCGTTTTGATGGCCCTTCGCCTAATGTTCTGCTGTGGAATTGGTTCGGATCGGTACGTTTACTTGATCGATATATTTAGCTTCTGGGTTGAGATTAGAATCTGTTTTTGTCTCTTGTTTTTTCTTGAAAATCTGATGTGTATTGTACTGGATTCCAATTGTGGGCTCGGGCTGACTTTGAGCTTGTGAGAGATTGTTCAAACTTCACTGGGGAATTTTATCAAACACTTTGTGGGCATGATGTCTTTGGGGGATGAGTGATGAGTTTCTACATGTTCAAGTTGAATTTGGGATAACATAAAAAGTTTAAGGGAATTTTACTTCATTTTGTTCATCTGATTCCGAAACTGTATGATTTGATTTGGTTTTTCTGTTTGTTCCCCTGATCCTGGCTCGTATGATAGAAAGATTTTGTAACTTTCTAGGATGTTTTTGTTTGTTGACTGTTCTATTCTGCAGGAAAGAAAGAGGGAAGAAACAGCAAACATGGAGGGTGTTTTCATTGAAGGAATTACACTCAGCCACAAATAATTTTAACTATGATAACAAACTTGGAGAAGGAGGATTTGGTAGCGTTTATTGGGGTCAGCTATGGGATGGATCACAAGTAAATATGCCTTCATTTTTCTTGTTTTATCCTATCAATTCATGTGGCGTAGACTTGTTTTAAATTTGGGATTTCTTTTTCAATTTGTTTCAAGGAAATTGTGCTACCATTCTTGGTTGTTTCGAACTTACCGAGTCGTTTTAGCTCCGTTTAAATGCTTGTTTCGTTAGTTTTAGATTACTAGTATGCCGATCGATCAAGTTAAGATCTTGCTTGTGCTGAATAATCTATTGAATGTACTAGAATCTTTTGAACTTCATATGTTCTTTGTATCATGTTCATCTTATGATTGTGAAAGGACGGTGACCAAGGCTGTTCGGTACGGTTTCTGTCAATAAGATTCTTCTCTTTTTCTGTTTCGTTACCTTACCATGCCAGCAAGAATGTTACCATGGCAGTTTGGGACTTAGAGAGTGAGTTCAAGTTATAATGACCACCTACCAAAGATTTAATATCCTATCTTGGGAACCAAATGTAGTAGGGTCATCTAGTTGTCTCGTGAGAATAGTTGACGTCTACGCAAGCTGACTTGGCAATCATCTATGAGAGCTCTAAAGGTTTAGAATTTTGAATTTGTTGAAGCTAGGATTGCAATAAGTTGTTGTGTAAGTTACGTATACTTTAGCTTGAGACACCCCGAGCGTTCATGATAAGGAGTTAATACCATAAAGTTCAAAGAGGGAATATTGTTCACATAATTCAAGGATTGAAATACCGTATACCATGTTGACAGTGAGAGCCCACATCAGTTGGAGAGGGGAACGAAGCATTCTTTATAAGGGTGTGGAAACCTCTCCTTAGTAGACGTGTTTTAAAACCTTGAGGGGAAACCTGGAAGGAAAAGTCCAAAGAGGACAATATCTCATATACCATGTTGACTGTGATATTCCACAGCGGTTGGAGAGGGGAACGAAACATTCTTTATAAGGGTGTGGAAACCTCTTCCTAGCAGACGCGTTTTAAAACCTTGAGGGGAAGCTCAGAAGGGAAAGTCCAAAGAAGACAATATCTGCTAGCGGTGGACTTGGGCGGTTACATTGACATTATTTGTATTTTAGAATTTTAGAAACAGCAACCTATTCTGAAATCTGAATGGCATGTCTTTTCAGATTGCAGTGAAGAGGTTGAAGGCTTGGAGCAACAAGGCAGACATGGAATTCTCTGTGGAAGTCGAGATACTGGCTCGAGTTAGGCACAAGAATCTATTGAGTTTACGTGGCTACTGTGCCGAAGGGCAAGAACGCTTGATCGTGTACGACTACATGCCCAATCTAAGTCTACTCTCCCATTTACATGGACATCACGCATCAGAATGCCATCTCGATTGGAAACGTCGCATGAAAATCGCGGTTGGATCTGCCGAGGGAATTGCGTACGTAAAACCATCTTTATTTAATCATAACATTCACTTATGCATTTTGATCACTCCTAATTTTGTTTGATTCAGTTATCTTCACCACCAAGCAACTCCCCACATCATTCATCGAGATATCAAAGCTAGTAATGTTTTGCTAGATCCAGATTTCCAAGCTCGTGTCGCCGACTTTGGATTCGCAAAACTCATCCCCGACGGTGCAACACATGTAACTACAAGAGTCAAAGGCACACTCGGATACCTCGCACCTGAATATGCTATGTTAGGTAAGGCATCAGAAAGTTGTGACGTATACAGCTTCGGCATTCTCCTTCTTGAGCTCGCCACTGGCAAGAGACCTCTTGAGAAGTCAAGTGCAACAACAAAACGCACAATCGTAGATTGGGCGTTACCGTTAGTAGTTGAGAAAAAGATTAACGAACTTGCAGACCCAAAGCTAAATGGAGATTACAACGCAGACGAGCTAAAGAGAGTCGTCCTTGTTGCACTCAGATGCTCCCATTCACGGCCAGAGAAACGACCGATCATGGTCGAGGTGGTAGAGCTGCTAAAAGGAGAATCAAAAGAGAAGGTAGCTAAATTAGAAGATGATGAACTGTTCAAGAGCCATGAAGTAGACGCACAATCTACAGAAATAGCAGCTGGTGAAGACAGCTCAGAGTTCATATCAGAAGAAAAGGATTGAACACAAAACCCCACATGAGAATAGTAGGTGAGTCTACTTAGCTTAGCTCTGGCTGTTGTTTACAAAAGCATGGCAGGGTGTGTTCATTTGGGTATTGATTCTCAAGCATTGTTTTATGAGTGCAGCTGAGATTTGTATGATTTGTGGTTACCCTTTTAGACTTTATTTTTGGGGATTCAAATTGATGTTTGGATATATAAATATATATTGTAAGTGGCATCAATCAATCTGTATCCAACCCGGTGCTTCTCACTTTTTCTTGTTTCCATTTTGTTTGTTTTGTTGCTTTATTAGGAGGGAGAAGATTCTCTACACCACCTAGTTTTTATTTTATTTTATTTTACACGTGCGCACTCGATTAGTGGGCTATTACACTTTCTTTCAAGGTCGAATTGCTTGATGAGACTTGGGTTACGTTTTCCAGAATGATTGGGCGTAAAGCGTCTGTAGGTGGCTTTTGAAGTCCGCCGTCAAATCCCAGCAACCCTGGACAGGCGGTGGGAAGCAGACCATTTTGCTTTTGATTCGGGGGAAAGTGAGTCGTTGCTAGTTTCGATGAGAATGGAAAGAATTCAGCAACCTTCAACCTTTCTGTTCCTCCTCCTAAACTCGGAACTTTGGTGGGTGCAATTGCTTACACTAGAATTTTAGAATATTTCATCGCCAGAGATGACTTAGGAACCAATCGTCCATTATCTAATTCAGAAGTTATTAGTATGTTTACCAAATTTTGTTCCTATCTAACCAAATACTTGTGGAGCAAGTAACAAATATTTGTTGAGATAAGTTGTTTTTCTTGGGTTATATGCAAGCTTCCGAAGAGGGAACCTCAAATAAAAGCACCTTATCGAGAACCGTAAGTATTGTAGTGAAACTAATTGCAAAATAGCGAAGAATGGAGAATGTTAAATAATCGAACAAATGGAGAATGTTAAAAAGTATAAATATATGCAATGTAATTTAAACTATATACAGACATATTCATACAACTTTAAAACCTCAAAGCTTAAGTTCGTGGTCGCCACAGTTAATTGTCATCTAAAAAATAAAAGTAGCAAAAATAAGCAAGTTGGTTTGTTCAGCTCAACAATCATTTGAAACATAATTTCTACTAAGTTGATGGTCATCACTACTTCAATTAACCCAAAATTACTTCAATTCTTCCAAAAAAAATTATTAGATATTTTAAAATTTCAAGAACTCAACAAAATAAACTTAAAATTTGAAATTTACTATAAAAAAAAATTACCGTTGGATTTTTTTTTTAAAGTATATATATATTGATAATTTAACCTAATGAGTAAAAGAGAGAGAACCTCTGAAGCTGCCGTTTGATATTTAATTTTGTTTTTTTTTTTCGTTAATTAATTAATTATGTGTAAATAAGCCGTTAAACGCTCCTTTCTGTTAATGCATTAGAAGAGGGGGAAAACGGAGAGTTACAAAAACCTAACCCCCAAACAAATCAAATTCTTTCATTCCCTTTCTTCTTCTTCTTCTTCCTTCCTTCCTTCCCTAACCTCTCTGCTTTCCCGTTCTGTTCGTCGTCTCCGATTTCAATTCCTGTGTTGCTCCGGCGACGAAGGTGGTCTTAGTTATTAGTTTCTGCAACCGACTACCCGGAGACGATGTCTGCTGTGGTGTGCGGAACCAAGAGATCCTTCTTTGAAGAACTTCCCCCTTCGCCTCCCATTTCCAAGCGCCTCCGCTGCTCCTCTTCTACTTCTCCCATTACTTTCCCTGCGCCCTCCTCTCTTATTGACCACCTCCACCATTTGTTTCCTCACATGGACCATCAGGTTTCTTCTTACTTCCCCTTTTCTTTCACTCCGATTTTAATTCCTGCTTCTGTGTAATCTCATATTTCTTGATGCCATTATAGCCTGAATCTTGATGGCCTTGGGGGACTCTTGTTATTCTCTTCTTGTATGTATTGCTTAAATATGCCTCTGGATTGTGCAATATCAACTAATTCGACTTACTTGCGGAATGGAATTTTAGTGGTTCTATTCAGTTTTATTTCGCAATGCATCTCTTTCGGTGACTTGTTTCATAACTGCTGCATTTATGTTATAATTAATACTATCCCCCAGGGTTTTCTTGATCGTGCTTTGATTTTTCCTTCCAGCTTCTTGTAAGAGCCCTTGAAGAATGTGGCAACGACTTGGATGCTGCCATCAAAAGTTTGAGTGACCTGTGTTTGGGGTCTGCTGTTGAGAATCCTGTTGCTACTGCAGAACCAGAGCCAAATTTGGATCAAGGTATCACAAAATTCTAAGCAATAAAGGACATGCTTCATGTGTAGCTTCTTTGTTTCTATTCGCTCAAGATTTTAATTATATTATGATGATGAATTCATCACATTCAAGATTAAATCCCCTGTTCAAGAATTTGATGCATGCTTATTTCATGGAAGTGATCCAATGGGTCCCCCTAACTTGCTGTCCCTAGTTTGGAATCCTAATTATACCCTTGCCTTGTGCAGATTAGAGGAGGGTTTAGGTTTTGATTAAGATTTGAAAAACAAGAAACGGAGTTCTCATTCAGAGTACTATGCATCCATTCTCTTAGAATAAGATGTATTCTTTTCTCATGTAAGAAACTCAATGGTTTGCTACCCCACCTTCCTGTTTGTAGTTTGGGTTGATAAGCTTATATTTGATCAAATTGAATAGGCTGGTACATATATAGAAACAGTTGGATAAAAAAAAACATTGGTTCTGAATTGCTGGAGATTAAGCTGTATGAGCAACGATAATCTTCCTTCATTCATTTGTGGTTGATGCTTATGTTGCCCCTAATCGATTTATAATGTGTTTTTTTTTTTTTTTTTTTTTTTGCTAGTCTTGACATTTATTTCTATCGTGCATGTTTCTGCAGAAAGCACTTTAATTAACCTTTTGTTATCCTTGCAATTTTATCTTCTTTTTTTTTTTTTCTTTTTCTATAAAGATCAATAATTCAGTGCATGCCTAAAAATTTCTCAGGTTCGATTGCTAACAATGGAGAGGCTGCAGCTTCTGAGAATTGTTCAGTACCGAGCAGCGTTTCTCTTGATGGTAGAAAATGGATTGACTTGTTTGTTGTGGAAATGGCGAGCGCTGTCGACGTAGCTGATGCTAGGAGTCGTGCAGCAAGAGCATTGGAGGCTTTAGAGAACTCAATTAGTGCACGTGCTGGTGTTGATGCTGCACAAAATTTCCACAAGGTACTTCAGTTTTAATGGCCACTACAAATAACTTTCCACATCATTGGGTTACAATTTTGGGATACTGGTAGGCTCTCTGGTTTGGGTTACTTGCTTGTTAAACATGCTATTGCCATAAAGTAAGGAGCCAGGCTTGTAAACTTATGTTCTTTTCACTGTCACCCAGGAGAATATGCAACTGAAGGAACAAATTGAAGTACTTCTACGAGAAAATACGATTCTTAAGCGAGCGGTTGCGATTCAGCATGAACGTCAGAAGGAATTTGAGGGTAAAAATATAGAGTTGCAACATCTTAAACAGTTGGTATGTCAATATCAGGAGCAGCTCAGAACCCTAGAGGTGAGGGGAATAAATGTACAACTTTTCTAAGTTTCTTCCCAATTATCAACAGTCCTGGTTTAATTTAAGTTCTTAAACATGTTTGTGTTGATGCAACTTTTTCTGACCAGTTGAAAAAAAAAATCCTGTTGGTTTTGTTATACAGATAAACAATTATGCTTTGACAATGCATTTGAAGCAGACTGAACAAAGCAGCTCGATTCCGGGACGCTTCCATCCCGATGTGTTCTAGCAAAGAGAAATTAATTGATCTAAATTATTGGTTGCAGAAAGAAACTAGTAGAGAGCGTGAGTGAGAGGAGGAATGGGGAGCATATTCATTAGCATATCAGTCTCCTATGAATAGAGGTACTGCTAATCAGTGTGTTTGTTTTTTTTTGTAGCTCGAGTTTCAAACTTGAATCGTGACTGCTACTGTAGCTTTTTTGAACTTCTATTGTTTCCCTCATAGATTTCAATTAAAAGTCTTTGTTCAATTCGATGATTGTATGTTGAAGTATTAGAGACTATGAGAGGTGTACCGTGCCAAAAATAGTAGAAACTATAAATAAAGTCTAAAGTTATTCTCCCCTAAAATGTAAGAGTAGCACACGGCTTAAGTAAATGACCTACTATTGGAGTTAAGAAATGCAATGCAATCACATGCAATCGTGTTTGGGACCTATCATTAAACATCATTTCATGGCTTTGGTCTCAACTTCAAGCCTGGGCGGTATTGGATATGTAGTACTCCTCTACGAACACGGCCCATTTTCGCGCACATGAACCCTCAGGCGAGTTCGTTTACATACCCTTGAAACTTGTCTTTAGTTGGCTTACACTTATGCTACCGTTATACTATGGTGGGAAGGGAGGGCACATAGCATCATGGTGTACATAATATCGTATCATATTATCGTAGTGTACATGCTCGTACTAATCATAACGGAGAAGTATTCCGATGCATTTGAACATACAATATGCGAGTCTTTTAAAACATTTCAAAATAATATCATGGACTTATATGCTCATAACTCTAAGGGCTACAAATAACATGAATGCTTCTACTCTAACTTCAGTCTCATAACCATCACAGTCCATGTAGAAGTACTTTACTCGAAAAATAAGAGTTGAACGTGGTTTGAGTATTTTAAGAAATACTCAGTAAATGACTTCACAGTGACTCTACTAGGTCAAGAAATGCAATCACATGCAATCGTGTATGAGACCTATCATTAAACATCATTTCATGGTCTTAGCCTCAACTTCAAGTTCGGGCAGTATTGGATGTGTAATACTCCTCTACATACACGACCCACTAATGAGTCAAGAAATGCAATCACATGAAATTTTGTTTGAGACCTATCATTAAATATCATTTCATGACCTTGATCTCAACTTCAAGTCCGGGGCAGTATTGGATGTGTAATACTCCTCTACATACATAGCTCACGCACGCGCACATAAACCCCAGACGAGTTTGTTTAGGTACCCCTAAACTTAGTCTTTAGTTAGTTTACACTCACACTATGGTTATACCACGTAGGGAAGGGTATTAATGACAAATTTTTTTTAACTTTTTATAAGATTAAGGATATTAATACAACTATTTAAACGTTGAAACTTATTTTAGAAATGAGCATATACCAGTGATAAAAACATTTTGAATATTTATTTGAAAATTTATAATAATGTTTAAAGAGTTTTTAACTTATATTATGTATATATATAAGTTTAAAATATATTATTGAAATTTTTTAATATTGGAAAGTATTTTAAAATACAAAGTTAAAAAATATTTTATAAATTCAACCATTTTAGATAATCTAAATCACAAACTAAATCCTTTCCTATCATAAATCATTTTTAATATTTTATATTTTTCTTTTCTAAAAATTTCAACAAAATCTTTAGTAAATATTTCAAGCCCGCAAAAGAAATATGTATATTATTCTTATAAAATTATCGAAGAAATGTAACAAAAATTGAACATATAAAAATTGTAATTATTCAAGATAAATTAAGATCTCGATCTAATAATTATATATATTCTATTAATTTTTACGAGTTGAATAGATTTGAATTTTTTTTAATTAAAGTGAAGGATTGGTAAAAACTTGGGTTAAATGATATATATTGTTTTTCAAATTAAAATCTTCGTAAATAAATAATTATAATCATTTTGTTTTGAATTTGAATTAAAAAGGAAATAAACGAGGGCATAAACGTAAATAGCCACTTCCGTTCCAACTGCAACAGATGGCGCTAGACTGAAGGAAAAGGAAACAGAAAGTAGCAGCAATGGCGGAAGACCGGGCCTGCAGGAGAACCAAGAATCTCGCTCCTCCGCTCCTCCGCTCATTCCGATCAAGATCTCTCAAAAACATCCCTATAAAAGCACCTTACTCCTCCTCACTTCAACACAACAAGAAAAACCAAAAAAAGAATAAAACCATTAACCATTTTCCCCCCCGCCCAACCTCGATTTGAAGGAACCTGATGGCGCTTCATTAATCTATACTTATGGAAAATCGAAAACACTGATTTCACCAAAAACTCTCTCCGTTTTCTTTTTCGTTGCTATAATCATATATATTTTCTTCTGTTTCCTTCTTTATATATCTCAAAATGACCGACATCAGCTTAGAGGAGATCAAGAATGAGAACGTCGATCTTGTAAGTTCTTCTCATCTTGTTTATGTTTCTGTTTGAGGAACAATGAACGTATTGGAAGATTTGGTTTCAGTTTTCGAAGGAAGCTTTTGTTGATTAAATCTTCTGAACTTAAAATTTTGGCAATCTGTGATTTACAGGAGCGTATACCCGTTGAGGAAGTGTTTGAACAACTGAAATGTACCCGAGAGGGTTTGTCCTCAGAGGAGGGGCGCCAAAGGCTTCAACTCTTTGGCCCAAATAAGCTTGAAGAGAAAAAGGTCACTTAATAGCTTAATGATCAGATGTAGTTTTCTCCACTTTTGCTATCAATTGAAAGAAAATTCTAATGGTTTTTAAACTCTTCTCGAACAGGAAAGTAAATTTCTTAAGTTTCTGGGGTTTATGTGGAATCCACTTTCGTGGGTTATGGAAGCTGCTGCTATCATGGCGATTGTTCTTGCCAATGGAGGGGTATCGTCTCTCTTTCTCTCTGTATTATAAAAGGAGGAGGATAAGCTCTTGCTGAGATAGTGATATGATTTCAATGGCTAAATTGCAGGGGCAACCACCCGACTGGCAAGATTTTGTGGGTATTACTGCATTGCTTATTATCAATTCCACAATCAGCTTTATAGAGGAAAACAATGCAGGCAATGCTGCAGCTGCACTCATGGCAGGACTTGCACCAAAAACCAAGGTAAAGAGTTGATTGATACATGTGCGATATTCCGAATCCTCATTACTAATGGAATCGAAATGATCTCCGGCTTTGTTGTTCGTTTTAGGTTCTTCGTGATGGAAGATGGTGTGAGGAAGAGGCTGCGATCTTAGTTCCAGGAGATGTGATTAGCGTTAAGTTAGGAGATATCATTCCAGCCGATGCTCGTTTGTTGGAAGGCGATCCGCTCAAGATTGATCAGTCAGCACTTACTGGTGAGTCTTTACCAGTGACAAGGAGCTCTGGTGATGAAGTGTTTTCTGGTTCCACTGTAAAGCAAGGGGAGATCGAGGCTGTTGTAATTGCCACTGGTGTCCACACCTTCTTTGGGAAGGCTGCTCACTTGGTTGATAGCACAAATCAAGTGGGTCATTTCCAAAAGGTGTTGACTGCGATTGGAAACTTCTGCATTTGCTCCATCGCCGTAGGGATGGTGATAGAGATAGTAGTGATGTACCCAATTCAACATCGTAGATATAGAGATGGTATTAACAATCTCTTGGTGCTACTCATCGGGGGTATCCCAATTGCCATGCCCACTGTTTTATCAGTCACTATGGCTATTGGTTCTCATAGGCTATCCCAGCAGGGTGCTATCACAAAGAGAATGACAGCCATTGAAGAAATGGCTGGAATGGATGTCCTCTGCAGTGATAAGACAGGAACTTTGACTCTCAATAAGCTTACAGTTGACAAATCCATGATTGAGGTGTTTGTTAGAGATGTGGACAAAGATACTGTGATTTTGCTTGGAGCTAGAGCTTCCAGGGTTGAGAATCAAGACGCCATTGATGCTTGCATTGTTGGGATGCTTGGTGATCCTAAGGAGGCCAGAGAAGGCATAAGGGAGGTCCATTTCTTACCCTTTAACCCAGTTGAGAAGCGCACAGCTATTACTTATATTGACAATGATGGCAATTGGCACCGTGTTAGCAAAGGAGCACCAGAGCAGATCATTGAACTTTGTGACCTTCGTGATGATGTCAAGAAGAAGGCTCATTCAATCATTGACAAATTCGCCGATCGTGGCCTTCGTTCTCTCGCTGTTGGCCGACAGGTAATTGTTTGGTTTGGCCTCGAAATCCCATAATCTATAAGTAAATGATATTTATGATGATGAAATCTCTTTGTTGCTGCAGACCGTTCCAGAAAAGAGCAAAGATGGTGCAGGAGGGCCATGGCAATTTGTTGGTCTCTTGCCTCTCTTTGATCCTCCAAGGCATGATAGTGCAGAGACAATCCGAAGGGCACTTCATCTTGGTGTCAACGTCAAGATGATCACTGGTGACCAACTGGCCATTGGCAAGGAAACTGGCCGCAGGCTTGGAATGGGCACAAACATGTACCCATCTTCTTCACTTCTTGGACAAAGCAAGGACGAGTCCATTTCTTCTTTACCTATTGATGAGCTTATTGAGAAGGCTGATGGATTTGCTGGAGTCTTCCCTGGTGAGTCGAATTACTAAACCGATCGATGGATCCTAGGCTTTCTTAGTTTTTGTGCCTGAATGTCCGTTGTTGTTGTTAAATGCAGAGCATAAATATGAAATTGTAAGGAGGCTTCAAGAGAGGAAGCATATTTGCGGTATGACAGGAGATGGTGTGAATGATGCGCCAGCATTGAAGAAGGCCGACATAGGAATTGCAGTGGCCGATGCAACTGATGCTGCAAGAAGCGCTTCTGATATTGTCCTGACAGAGCCAGGACTGAGCGTGATCGTCAGTGCTGTTCTAACAAGCAGAGCCATTTTCCAAAGAATGAAGAACTACACCATCTACGCAGTCTCCATAACCATCCGTATTGTAGTGGGATTTATGCTTATAGCACTCATTTGGAAATTTGACTTCTCCCCTTTCATGGTTTTGATCATAGCCATACTCAATGATGGCACCATCATGACCATCTCTAAAGACAGAGTAAAACCCTCTCCTCTCCCGGATTCATGGAAGCTCCGCGAGATCTTTGCCACCGGCGTTGTTTTGGGTTCATACTTAGCCGTTATGACTGTTGTGTTCTTCTGGATCGCACACACTACCGACTTCTTTTCGGTAGGGAAAATTCCAAGCAATTGGGTTGTTGCTTTAGATAATGATTCTGCTTCTGTGTTCATATTTTTCTTCGTGCAGGACAAATTTGGTGTGCGTTCCATCAGAGAAAGCAGCGGCGAGCTCACAGCAGCTGTGTATCTTCAAGTTAGCACGGTCAGTCAGGCACTCATCTTTGTGACAAGATCTCGAAGCTGGTCCTTTGTAGAACGCCCTGGTCTTCTCCTAGTGTTTGCCTTCTTCGTAGCACAGCTGGTAAGAACACTTGGAATATAAAGACATGAAATGAGCCCATGAAAGCTTAAGCTTACGATTTTCAATGGCTGATTTTGGTAAGGTGGCTACCCTGATTGCTGTGTATGCGAACTGGGCCTTTGCTGACATGAAAGGGATTGGATGGGGATGGGCTGGAGTGATCTGGATCTACAGCATAGTCTTCTACATTCCTCTGGACGTTCTCAAGTTTGCCACTCGATATGCATTGAGCGGCAAGGCTTGGGATAATATGCTCCAAAACAGGACTGCTTTCACATCAAAGAAGGATTATGGCATTGGCGAGAGGGAGGCTCAATGGGCTGCAGCTCAACGTACCCTTCATGGCCTGCAGCCTCCAGAAGTTTCTGACCTCTTCCATGACAAGAACAATTACAGGGAGCTGTCTGAAATCGCTGAGCAAGCCAAGAAGCGTGCTGAGGTCGCAAGGTATAACCCCTATCAACTTAAGCTTTCTAAAACCGTAGAATCCATGAGGCTTAGGGGTATACGTAATGAGCCATAATGAGCCAAAGCTGACATTATGTGCTAGTGGTAGGCTTGAACTAGCAGATAATGTCTTTCTCGGGTAAGTTTTTGGGTTCGGGTTGAATAATGATGATTTTGTATTGATTGTGAAGGTTGAGAGAGCTTCACACATTGAAGGGACATGTTGAATCGGTGGTGAAACTAAAGGGACTGGACATTGAAACCATCCAACAACACTACACTGTTTGAAGAAGAAGACAGAGAGAGAGTTTACCGGCGCCGGAAAGGAGGCCGCCGGCGACAGCAAGCAGACAAAGAAATCAGAAAATTGAGATTTTGGTTTCGTTCATTATTGAGGCTGTCTTGTTGTTTGATTTTTGTAGTAGGAAAGTAGGATGATGGCAATAAGTCGCCAGCACGTGTGATTGTGATTTGCTGCAATCCTATGCTGGTCAATTAACCCGACACGTGTGAACGGATAGGGTCTTATTATTAATAAAATAAATAATTTTGAATTTAATTATATTTCAACTTTTTAACTAAAATTTAAGATATAAAACCCTAAAATTTGAAATAAATTTCATACCATTCATGATAGTTTAGTAACATTTAATCTCTATTATTAAAAAAAAAACTCATAAAATTAGATATCAAATTTAGTTTATCAATTTTATAAATAAGAAATTCTATTAAACCTTACCTACTTTTACTTAAAAATTATTTTAAATTTAAAAATATACAAACTAAATTGTTACGTATATATTTCTTACTAAATTTTGTATTCAACAAAAAAAAAATTATATGAGAATAAAATTATAATTTTTTTTATAGTTTTATAAAATATCACTTAAAATAAATATATTTATTTCCTAGTTTTTTAGTATCCAACTTATAAAATGTCTGGAGCCTTTTAACCCATATAACCCATAGAACCATGTTTAAGTTAGTTTTAAAATTATAATTATATAGTAAGAAAATCTTAAAATTGGTTATATTACATGATAAATTCATAGATTTGGAATTTTTTATCCCATAGAACCTCTCAATTTTAAGTTCTTGAGTGTGAGAAAAGAACTACAAGCGCTTCGAGCAAAACCTTAGAGGAGGCTACAAGCGCTCCGAGTAGAACTACGAGCAAAACTTTAGAGGAGGCTACCACAAGGAAAACCAAGGCAGACGTGATATAATAAATGAACATGGCTCATAGTCATGATCCTTCCTACCCACCCACTTACTTGATTAGGGGTGACAAAAAGATATGAGAAGATTGGATATAGAATATGGAATTCTTTTCTAGCAATTGGAAAATAATTTTATGCCCTGAAAAAGAGTCTTGGGTTCAAAATGATCACTCACTTCCCATTTCTAGCTCTTTACAATTCCCTTAATTAATTATTCTTAAATACCATACCCCAAATGCTTTAAATACCATACTGCTCCTTCTGCCGCATCCTCTGCTGCTACTTTCTTTCTTGTTTGAGGTTTTCCATAGCATTCCAAATCTTCTCCACAATCTCCCTTCATCTCTACAATAACCTTGAATGTGTACCTGCATCCAACTTAAATTTCCATCAATATTCTTCCTCTCATGTTTGCACACAGATGACCATATGAATCTGTCAAATCCAAAGAAGAGCAAATTTCTCAAAGTTGAAGCTAAAAGGAGACTTTGGTGACATCTAATTCTACTCATGTAACGACTCAAGCCCACCGCGAATAAATATTGTCCTCTCTGGACTTTCCTTTTCGGGGTTTTAAAGAGGTTTCCACACTCTTCTAAAAAATGTTTCGTTCTCCTGCTCAACAGATGTGGAATCTCACACCTTATTTTGAAGATATAAAGCAAAAACGTTATAAAAGCTTCAAAAGTAGTTGTTCCAAGGGCAATTTCTTGAGTTTTAACGCGTAATCCACACCCAAAAGCAGAAGAAGGATTACTTACATCTTTAGTTAAGTACTCTTAGAAATATCAGGGCGTTGAAAGTTTTGAGCTGACAAGGTACTAGAATAAAGTGTTTGTAAGTTCATAACTCATGTTGATGATAGTCTCAATGAGCTTACTTTTTTGCGTGGCTTGGACCTTCTTCCTCGCAGCATTCAAACAGAGGAGGCTTCCAGTGATTTGCAGTGCATATCTCATACAGAAGGGACTTCGCCGATTTCTTTACTGAAGTACCTAAAATGGAAAGGTGAAGCTAACACCATTTAAGCCAACTTTCAGTACCCAAAATGGTGCATTAACAGTGCTTTTCAGAAACGCCATGGTAATTCTTATGGGAATCATAAAGGCAATAAACTCAGGCTGTAATAGAGATATCTTCCTTATCCAAGTTTAACAAAGATCAAGTACGCCATCAAAGTGCAAGAGCTTTGTGCTTTTTCTACTTGAGTTGCAAAATTGTATTCAATTTTTCGTTTAAAAAATGTATAAACATGTTTGACTAACTGATATCTCAGTTAGTTTTTTCTAGAGAGCTCAGCTCCAAAGTCAAGTTTGAAAGAACAAAAAATTTAAATTATTTAGTTTCCTATTTACATATAAGAAGTGGGATTTTGAGATACCAGCTCTCACGAGCAGGGCAGATTAGAAAACTATTCTCACACAACTTTCAGCCATTAAAGATTGTGATCGAGTAATTTAAAAATCTTAATGTTGTCGTTATTGAATGCACAACTTCATTCATTTTTTAAAACAAGTCATCCTTAGAAGTAGTTGGAGAAAAAAAACAAGAAATGAAAAATAGGAAAGTAATGATAACGTTCAAACACAACTCGAAAAATGATCCTCATGCAGAGTTCTGTTTTGAAAATGTTAGAGACCAGATGCTTACTGTAGACAACGTTTCTTTAATAAAAAAAGGAAAAACAAAAACAAAAACAAAAACAGAAAGAAAACCACAACAGAACTTTGAAATTAATGGATGCATGCTAGGGACAAAGTCGGAGAAGGATTGTGGGCTGTAAGATGAACAATAAATCGCATTTGGAAATCAATAGTTGGAAGAAAACCAGTAAAATCACAAAGAGAAGATCGATCCATGAAGATGATGAAACATAACAGGAGTCATCTATCTCGAATCCTAAGAAGCAATCAAGTTCAAGGAATTAGGTTTAAACCGGTACCTTCTTTGGTCGAGTCATGACTGCAACCACTGGACCTCGAAGCTGAATCCCCGAAATTCTCTTTCCTTTCCTTCGGAGTCGTCCTCGCATTAGGAGAACGAGCAGAATCAAAACACGCCGGGTTCATCGGCACGCCATCATATTCGTTCGGCCTTACATCCGGCGAGTGATTAGGTGGCATAAACTGAGGAACGCGCCCAATATACCTCGATTTCTCAAATTTAGCCTAAAACAATTCAGTTAAATCTCAAATTCCTTCGAACTTCAAAGAAAATTGAATACAATCAACCGCATGTTACCGGAATCGAGGAGTGATTTGCATTTCCAACACACGGATTATGAATTGGAGGAAGATTTTTGAGATTGACATTCACACTTCGAGGACAGGAAGGAGTGTTCTCCATCTGATTTTCTCGATTCTTCCGCTCTTCTCCGACGATCTCTCTGTAGTGTACTGTCTGAAACATCAATTTCACAGAGCAAAATCAGAAAACAGAGAATTCAAAGCAACAGAAGCATAATAATAGTAAACATTAATCAGAACTGTTCTCTTTCGAAAAGTAGAAAAACAACATAGGCGTCTAGAATCTGTGCTCTGATAGCGACCTCTTCAGAATAAGCTCTTGTTCATCATCTTCTTCATCATCATCTTCTTCATCATCATCTTCTTCATCATCATCTTCTTCATCATCATCTTCTTCTCTCTGGTTTAAAGTCACTCTACTGCTGCGGATTTGTAAGCCATGCGTAGAAGAATGTGTTTTGGTTGCTATATTTAGAATTTGCTTTAAATAATATGTATTAATTATTTAATTAAACAAAAACTAATATATATTAAATTATATTAAGAATGATACTCTTCTAATAAAATTAGGAACTATTATTTTTAAAATGCATTTATCCATCCAATTTTCTTCCAATGAATATCATTTGGTAGGAGCGTAATCGATTTAAATTAATTGGAGTCGTCGGGATCATCAAATTCAGGTTAAAAGAAGATTTTGAAACGTATTGTGCAAACGAAAGATGGTAAAATATGCTTAAAAAAGAGGGATCAAGCGACCATGACACCCCGCCTTTGACAAATGGCTTGTAGGACGATGTCACTTCACTTTACAACTAAAAGTTAGGAAATAGATTCGTTAGTTGGTTTCAATACGTTGAAGCAAGGTCTCCATTAATGAAATGTCATGCGTTGATAATAAAGTATGTATAAATTAAGTACACACGTCATATTTTGGAATCAATAAATGTGTGATTCCCCGGAGCATTTGTTTCTATTTTATATATATATATATATATATATATATATAGACTACGTTGTACTATTAAATTTAAATTTCTACGAATTAATTTCAACTTTATATTATTTTTTTATGGAATATTATCAAAATTATTAAGTACTCTATTTTTTTTAATTATATAAAGAAATGAGAAAATTTTCTTTCGAGGAACTCGATCCTACCATTTTTCAAATTTTGTGGAGAACAAGATTAAAATAGACGGAGATAGCTTTGTCATTCATGTTCAAAGTAGACATCTCTAATTTCTTGTGATCTTTATTAGGATTGACGTCTACCATTGAATGACTAAAGAGATAAAAGACTCAAAGCTATCTCTTGACCGAGACCAATAAATAGATCAGAGAGAGCGAGAGCAAGAGAAGTTTCTTCACCGTCACCACGACCAGCAAGTGAAGGAGTAAGTAATGGAATAATGAATAATAGGGAAATAGAGTACCACATATAAGACTGATTGTTTTGCTGCTGAAAGAGTCTCATCTGCCAATTGAACGGCCATGGCTTTGAAAGGCTTTGCGTTGAGATGCAGAGGCGCCGCCATGGATGACGCCAACTGAAAGCTCAGTTCACTTTTCTTTAGGATTCCACTGGAATTTTCATAGATTGAAGGACAACTATCTCTTACATCAGATATCTACTCAACAACACAACTAGTCTATTCAACAACTTTTCGCAACTCTTTACGTGCATGTTCATTCTCAATGAACTACTGCAACCACCATTTACCCTAAGTGGCCCATTCCAAACATTCAAAACTTCACCTTAAATTGTAATCTGGCCTAATTAATGAGCGTGCGTGTGTCGATTTTAAACTGAAATTTTGATGGAATGTTTACCGTGGAACCGTGGTTTTTGGGCTTTCGTGTTTCGACTTCTCCCAAGATTTTTAAAACGAGTGAGAAAGGTTTCCACACAAGAATGTTTCGTTCCCCTTTCCGGTCGAGGTGGGATCTCCCAATGCATCCCCTTTTGGGCACAGTGTCCTTGCTATCTCCAATCCATATGGTCAATCCACTCCCTTCAAGACCCAACGGTCTGCTTCGTTCCCCTCTCCAAGAGACCTTACAATCTATCCTTTTGGGGCCAACGTTCTCGCGGGCACTCATTCCTCTCTCCAATCCATGTGGTCAATCCAACCCCCCTTCGAGACTTAGCATCCTGCTTCGTTCCCTCTTCAACTAATGTGAGATCTCACAATCCACCACTTCGGGGTTAGCGTCCTCCCAAGCATTCGTTCCTCTCTCCAATCGATGTGGTCAATCCAACCCCCTTTGAGGCTCGGCGTCCTACTTCGTTCCCCTCTCCAGAGATATCACAATCTACCCCTCGCAAGCACTCGTTCCTCTCTCCAATCAATGTGATCAATCCAGCCCCTTTGGGGGTCAGCATCTTCGTTGATACACCGCCTGATGTCCAGCTCCCTTCGGGGCTTATCGTCCTCGTTGGTACATCACCTGGTGTCCATCACCCTTCAGGACTCCGCATCCTCGTCGGCGCTTCCCTCAAGGTTTTTAAAACGTGTCTTGCTATGAAGAGGTTTCCACACCCTTCTCATTGGTGTTTCCCCTCAATGTTTTGAAAACACGTATGCTATGGAGAGATTTTCTGTAATCGACGTGGCATCATAATTTGTAGTTCTTCATGCTTAATAAATAAGAAACATACATCCTCATAAACGTAATCTCATCCTTCATTGTGCTGTTCAATCTGTTTCTGATCTTGCTCTAATTAACTGTGCTTCTGCAAACTCCCTTTCCACATTAATGCCAAAAGACAAAGAACGCAAATCCATCACTGAAACCAAACCTTCTTCACCCATCATGGAACAAAGCTTCCTCTGCACTCGACAATGGCCTCCAATTCTTTCTCTTCCACCTTCGACGAGTGCAACTGGGTCATTCAAATTCGTCGGACCCTCGAAGAAGAACTCGATGACGATGATGGGATTCCCGTGTCGATCTTCAAGGTCCCTAAATCTCTAATGGTGTCCGATCCAGATTCCTACACTCCGCAATTGGTTGCGTTGGGTCCTTACCATTGTTGGCGCCCAGAGCTCCATGAGATGGAGAGAATCAAGCTCTCCGCTGCAAAAAGGGCCAAGAAATTCAGCCCGAGAGATCTCCAATTTCATGATCTCGTTGAACAATTGGCGAAGCTCGAGCATAAGATTCGAGCGTATTACCACGGTTACTTGGATCTTAATAGCGAAACTTTAGCCTGGATGATGGCCATTGACGCCTGTTTCTTGCTCGAGTTTCTCAATGTCTACGCCCAACAATTGAAGATTCTTCGGCGAGTTTCTTCGAGAATGTCGCATTTGATGGATTACGCTGGGACGAAGCCAGCGCACAACGCCGTTCTCAGAGATATAATCATGCTCGAAAATCAGATTCCATTGTTCGTATTGAGGAAGATGATGGAATTCCAGTTCGAATCCACTGAACAATCCGACGAGACTTTGCTCTCCATGTTGATCGGATTGTTCGCAGAGCTTTCTCCATTCAACACCACGGATGAAATTCCAGAGATTCAAATTTCAGATTGCGCTCATTTGCTGGACTTTTTATACCAAATGATCACTCCCAAATTGAAAGAACCATCAGAAATTACTGAAAACCCTAACGAGATCGAACAATCTCCTCAAATTTTGAGTTACAGACAACAAATCGCACACAGATCCAAGCAATGTCTGTTGCGATCAATCGAAAACCTAATTCGTTTCACAAAGCGAGCGATGCAATCTCAACATGTGAAAACGATAGCGCGGCTGCCATGGGCGATCCTCTCCTCGATCCCTCCATTCGCGATCTTAAAACAGCCTGCTGAGATTCTATTCTTCAGAGAGCAAGAAACAGAACCTCAAAACCCTGATTCAAATCCGAACGCAAACAGACCGCCATTAACGGAGGAAATAACAATCCCTTCCGTTTCAGAGCTCTTCAAAGCCGGAATCCGCTTCTCACCTTCCGATGGCGGAATCTCAACGATTACCTTCGACAGAAATACCGGAACACTCTACCTTCCAACGGTGAGGCTAGACGTGAACACACAAGCGACGCTGAGAAACTTAGTAGCATACGAAGCGTCGAGCGGATTAGGGCCGCTGGTTTTAACAAGATACACGGAATTGATGAACGGAATCGTGGATTCCGATGAAGACGTGAGATTGCTGAGAGAAGGAGGAGTGATTCTGAACCATCTGAAGAGCGACGAAGAGGGCGCTGCGATGTGGAATGGAATGAGCAAATCGATGAGATTGAGCAGAGTTTTGGAGTTGGACAAGGTGATCGAAGAGGTGAATGAGTACTACGATGGATTGTGGAGAGTGAAAATGGGAAGATTTGTGGAGGCATATATTTACAGCTCTTGGCCTTTGCTTGCTCTAATGGCGGTCGCTTGGGTTCTGTTCTTGATCGCCCTGCAAGCTTTTTGCTCTCTGTTCGGTTGCTTTCGCGCCCTTCCTCCCAAGCGCCCTTGAAAAATATGGGCCCTTGCCGCCTCCCTCGTTCAAATCCCCAAATCTATTTATTGCAAATTTGGTCCTCCTTTTATTCAAATATTCACTGACCTTACGTGCTGTTGCATCAAAGTATGCCGGTCAAGACGTTACTAATTTAGTATAAGAAAATTAGAAGCATTACACTATGTGAATCAACCAACCACTAATGGTCACTCACAGGGTGATTGTAGAAAAGGTAAGGATCAAGTAAATAATCGATTTTCATGCGGTAAGGGTGAATAGGTAACCATCCACTAACTGTAGAAAATGGTTATCAAGGTAAAATGGTTATGCTATGTGGATCGAGTAACATGGTCACTCTGCTGGCTATGTAAATAGGTAACCAGCCACTAATGTCATTGTAAGGAGTGATTGTTGAAAATAGTTTTAGTGAGAAAATTTGATAATACGAACTAATTTTTAACTTTTATTTTATTCAACTATTTATTTAAATGAGTCTCCTATATTTTAGAAATACTTACAAAATTATTTTAACAGAGTATTTTATTCATTTTAAAACTACAACTACTCCCCTATATGTAGGAGAAATCGGATATTTTCAAAAGCGATAAAAAAGCGTAATTAAAAACATAAATAAAGTGATTAAGAAGTGTGTGTATATATATATAAACTGATACGGGATTGGACTTAGAACAGAAAAATAATTTTCATTTCCGACTCAATTTAATCGCTCTGCCAATTTGCCGCACTCTGAAAACTTTGGCGCTTCCAGAAATACCAAACCCTTCGCCTCTAACGTCTTTCCCTCTTCTCCATCACTCCACTGCCTGCAACACCATGGCTTCGTTGATCGGATCCAAATCTCGTCAAATTTCATCTCCGTCGCCTTTTGCTTCGTCGATCGGATCCAAATCTCGTCAAATTTCATCTCCGTCGCCTTTTGCTTCGTCGAGTACGGCTTTCTTGTCTCGGCCGTTGGAAGGTAGATTTCTCGTCGAGGCAATGTGCGGAAAATATGCGTGTTCGTCGTCAGAGGCGTCTGTGAGATTTCAGATTGATGGAAGGCCGGCGTCTCCCGGCCGTTCGATTTCGGTTCAGAAGAATCGCGAGAGAAATGCGAATGCGGTGTCGTCGAATAAGAAGAAATGGTGCATGTGTTCTCCGTCTACTCACCCAGGCTCTTTCAGGTGTTCGCTGCACAAGAAGAATTGGAGGCGCTCTGTTAATGTCGTGAATCGCAGCAGCGAGTTCCCGAACGGATCGTTGAATTTCCGTAGATCGGCAATGGCGAATTCGATTGTGAGAAATGGAGGCGTGGAAGGTGCTGATCTAGTGAAAAGAGCTGCCTTGGTTAGACCTTCTTCGCACCAGGTGCGGCGGCCATCAGCGTTTCAACCTATCGGCCAAAAGCAGAGGAGGAGTACATCTTCCAGCACTCATCAATGAATTTTGGCTTTTAAATTTTGATTTGAATTGGGATGAATTTTGGCTTTTGAATCATAGGTAAATTTTGATTTGAATTGGGATGAATTTTGGCTTTTGAATTATAGTATAGATTTTGGTTCTCAATTGTACTTATATAATTTTGGCCAGGTTTTTTTAATTCAGGTTTTTTAATTTTGGCCAGTTTTGGTCACTATTTATAACATTTTTTTGTATTTTGTTTTGTTTGGCTAGTTTTGGTTACTGCTTATAAAATTTAAATTGAAATATATATATATATAACTCTTAATTTATTTTGAAAATTAAAATTTAATTTACTCTAAATAATCGGTTAATCTGATTGAAATAACTCTTAATTAATTTTGAAAATTAAAATTTAATTTACTCTAAATAATCGGTTAAAATCGGATTGAAATAACTCTTAATTTATTTTGAAAATTAAAATTTAATTTACTCTAAATAATCCGTTAAAATCTGATTGAAATATATCTAAATAATCTGATTGAAATATATAGCTTTTAAATAAACTTAACTAAATAAACTTAACTTATAAAAAAATTTGATATAAACTTAACTAAATAAACTTAACTTATAAAAAAATTTGATTGAAATATATAGTTTAACTGATTGAAGAAATATAATTGAAATATATAGCTTAATATATAGCTTTTAAATAAGCTTAGTTTATAAAAAATTTGATTGAAATATATAGTGAAATATATAGTTTAACTAATTGAAGAAATATAGAGCTTTTGAAATATATAGCTTTTAAATTTATATAGAGCTTTGAAATATATAGCTTTTAAATTTAAATAAAACTTATAAAATTTGATTGAAATATATAGCTTTTAAATAAGCTAAACTTATAAAATCTGATTTAAATATATAACTTTTAAATAAGCTTAACTTATAAAATCTGTATTTCTTCTTATATATATTTAAACAAGCTTAACTTATAAAATCTGTTTTTCTTATATATATATATTTAAATAAGCTTAACTTATAAAATCTGTATTTATTATATATATATATATATATATTTTAATAAGCCTAACTTACAAAATCTTTACCTTAGATTGTATTTCTTACCAAATTTTATTTAGATTAACTTATAAAATCTTTATAAAATTTTAATTTAGATTATATTTCTTATCAAATTTTATTTAGAATGTAACAAAAAAAAATTTATAATTTTATTTAGATGATATTTCTTACCGAATTTTATTTAGAGTGTATTTATTACCAAATTTTATTTGGATCGTATTTCTTAAATTTAGATTGAAATAGTATACTCTTTCCATCTTAATTTAGAGTATTATATATATATAGATTGAAATAGTATACTCTTTCCATCTTAATTTAGATTGAAATATATATACTTTTTTAGATTATAAAATTTAGATTAAGATATTATATTTCCATCTAAATTAAGATATGAAAAAGTATAATATATATATAATACTCTTTATGAAATAACTAGTCAGAAATTGAATCAAATAGACCTTATAGCCTCAAGGTCATAATATATATATATATAATACTCTTTTAACGGGTCAGAAATTGAATCAAATAGGTCTTATAATATATATATATATATATATATATATATATATATATATATATATATATATATATATAATATAAAATACTTTTTTAACGGGTCAGAAATTGAATCAAATAGGCCTTATAGAAATTGACAAATAGGCCTTATACCTCATGATCAAATATTATATAATACTCTTTTAACGGTCAGAAATTGATCCTTATAGAAATTGAATCAAATAAGCCTTATAACCTCAGAGTCAGAATATATATATATATAATATATATAAAATACTTCTTATGGGTCAGAATGAATCAAATAAGCCTGAAATTGAATGAATCAAATAGTCCTTATACCTTAGAGTCAGAATATATATATATATATATATATATATATATATATATATATATATATATATATATTATATATATAAAATACTTTTTTAACGTCAGAAATTGAATCAAATAGGCCTTATAGAAATTGAATCAAATAGGCTTATAGTCTCAGGTCAGAAATTAAATCATAACTAATCAGAAATTGAAAATTGAATCAAATAGGCCTTATACCCTCAAGTCAGAAATTAATCAAAAATTGAATCAAAGCGTTATAAAAATTGAATTAAATAGGCCTTAGCCTCAGAAATTAAATCATATAACTAATCAAAAATTAGAAATTGAATCAAATAGGCCTACGTCAAAAATTAAATCATATAACTTAAAATTGAATCTTTGATAGAGAAATTGAATTAAATAACTGGTCAGAAATTGAATGTCTTATAGAGAAATTGAATGAAATATTATTTAGGCCTTTCGTGGTAGAGTTGGTAAGGAGTAAATTATAGTTGACCTTTTTTAACTCATTTAACTTGGTAGAGTAACACAGGGCTTAAGTTCATAGGTTGAAATTTGAGGTAAGGAAGTCATAGGTTGAAAGCCCCCTTTAGCCATGGTAAGTAAGTCATAGGAGGTAAGGCTCAAGTCATAGGTTGAAAGTCCTTTTTTTTAGCCTAAGACCTAAGTCATAGGTTGAAATTCGAGGTAAGGCTTAAGTCATAGGTTGAAATCTGATAAAGGGCGATAAAAGGCTTTGACTTTTTTCAGAGCTTAATTCATATTGCTGAAAATATATACTCTTTCACAACTGTATACTCTTTCACCCAAGCATATATACTTTTTCATTTCAGAGCTTAAATTGAAATATAATACTCATTCTTCTCGGAGCTTAATTTAGATTGAAATATATATATACTCTTTGATAGCTTAATTTAAATTGAAATATATCTACTCTTTCCAATCAAGACTAAGATTTAAACATATATACTATGATCAAAATAAGATTGAAACATATATACTCTTTCAGATCAAGACTAAGATCGAAATATGTATACTCTTTCAGATTAAGACTATGATTGAAATATATCTACTCTTTCAAATCAACATTAATACAATAATTATATCTAATTAATTAAGATTTAATTATAAATTGATTATTATTTTTTTTTTAAACATTTAGATTTTTATATATATATATATATATTATTGATCAATATACCTATCTCTTTTTTGAAAAAATTAGATCAAATAATTAAATATCTCTCTCCGTAAATAATTTGAAACAAAAAATCAATTAAATATGTAATAACAAATTTAAAATAAATGTATTTGAAAACAAAAAAAATATTGAATTAAATAAATTTTAAGGTATATATTTATAACGTAAATTCTAATTTTATTTAAACCCCTCAAAATTTGTAGTATATGTTCTATTTTAATTTAAACGTGATATTATTTATTAATTTATGAGGATGTTCTAGGTTAAAAAGTTTATACAGTATCACATTAGTTATAATATATGCTTTAGGTAAAATAAATTAATTTAAAATTAATTTATCTATTTATGTTTAGAGCAAGGTTAAAATGATGAGAATGGTCCATGAATTTATTATAAGGAAGCTGTTAATCATATTTTCATTGATATTATTTATTTTTATTAATGTTCTTTTATATTTCAATAAATTAAAATGTTTTTTTATAGAATATGTTTTTTTTTTTTTTTCTTATTAAAATGTCCATGAGTTATTTTTAATTTTTTTAAAAGAAGTTAAAACGGTTAAAAATAATTAAAAATAAAATAGTACAGTAAATGAAACTGGATAATATCAATACATAAAATTAATAAAAATATAATTATTTCAAAATAAATTTATTATATTAATATAAATATTCAAGTCCTCCAAATTTTAACAAATGTATGATAACGGAGATTTTTACTCTCTTATAAACAATATAAATGTTTTGTTCTCCTCACCAATTGAGGTAAGATCTCATAATTGGTATCCTTTCAAAGTTAGTGTCCTCGGTGGCACTCGTTCTCTTCTCTAATCGATGTGAGACCTTCAATCCACTTCCATTGGAGCGAGCGTCTTTGTTCTCACACCGACCAACTATAACAACTTAAACCACACTTAGCAGATATCGTACTTTTTGGGCTTTCCCTTTCAGATTTTAAAACACGTATGTTACAGACAGATCAAATGATAAGAGTTAGCGAATAAAATGTCAAATGTCAAATGTCACCGTTATAAAAAAGTAGGTATGAGACGGTTAAGGCCCACACCTCATTCTCATATAAAGTTCATGTAAAGAATAAAGTTACGCACCTTTGAAAAAATAATAAATACGTAACACAAAAGTAGTTGGGTATATTTGATGAGTTGTAAATGTATGAGAATGATAGTATGAATTCTACATCACATCCATTTAACGATTTTTCGATATTTGTATTTATCTGTAATTAATTTTTTTATTTATTTTATTAGTTCGTGCAAAACAAAAATATTTTTGAATTTAAAATTCATAGTAAATTTAAAATAACTCCTATATATATTAAAAAAATATTTTTCTACTACCATATTTGAAAAATAATAATAATTTAGAGGTGTTTAGTTTATTTTAAAATATATATATATATATATATATATTTTTTTTTTTTTAAATATTTAAAAATATTTAAGTAATATTAAAACAAAATTATATGAAATAATAGCTTATTTTTTATTTGCTTATATACTTCCCAATTATATAAATTTGGTTTTTTATAGGGTTTTCAGGAAATTAACCATATAAAAATTTAAAAAAAAAATTATAGCCTTCCTATTAAATTCAAATTTATATATAAAAAATAATTATTATTAAACCATTTAAAATTTTTCTTTTTATAAACATGTTAGACAAGTTTAAAAGTTTGCAATAAATTTAATAATATAAATTTAATAATTAGAGTTATTTAGAATAACTTCCAAAATGATAAAATATAATCATTTTAAATAAATTATATATTTTTCAACATTAATCCTTTCAACCAGCTTCTCTTATAAAAAATAATAATAATTTAGGATGATGACCAAAATAATATTTTAAAAAGTATTAACCAATTATAAGAGTGCTGAATTAATTATTTT